ATTTATCTATCAGTACTCCTTCTTAGTGTGTCATTTATAAATAGAGATATGTTCCACCATGCAAAGCGAAAAATATGATCATAGTCATAATAATATATTTGCATTTATAAATGCCATATTAAGGATGACTATGTATGACCGATGAATTAAATTAATACCTTAACAATATTTAATAGTGTGTCATTATTATATAGTGCTACCAGTGTTTGACATCTATCAGTCTGGAAAGGGTTACTCCAGCAAATTACAGTGAAAGCCATTATCCGCAAATGAGAAAACTTGGAACAGGTGTAAATCTTCCCAGGAGTTCAAGAATGTGTCGACGACTCATACAGAAGGTCAAAATACAACCCAGAACATCTAAAGAACTGCAGGCCTCTCTTGCCTCAGTTAAGGTCAGAGTTCAAGATTCAACAATAAGAAAAATACTGGGCAAAAATCGCATCCATGGGAGCATTCCAAGATGAAAACCGCTGCTGACCAAAGAGAACACAAAGGCTCGTCTCACATTTGCTAACAAAACAAAACAAAACATTTTGTGGACTGTAACAACAGTTGAACTTTTTGGAAGGTTTGAGTCCTGTTACATCTGGTACTGTATGAAACTAGTACAGCATTTCTTGAAAAGAACATCATGCCAACAGTTCTCTTGCTTAAAAAAAAAGAAGAATTTAGAGGAGTTTCCTTAATAACTTTGTGCACAGTTTCCATTTTTCCTCAGTACATCCATGTGCATGAACCAGAGAAGCTTTCCAGGTGCAGCTTGCTGATTATTACACTTCCTCCCCCAGGCCCATTCACACTCTTACCGGGCCCATAAACTTTATATTATGATGACATCACACAAATAAAAGCCACTTTTTTTTTTTACTTGGTTTTTCAAATATGACTCTCATGTGCTGCAAGCAGCTGTTTTTACAGATGTTGTTTTATAATGATAGTCTACAGGGATAATGCTTTTTGGGTCACATGACATTTGTGTCATTGCCATACTGTGATTGACCACTAGGATAAACCAGCCCCAAATATCAATGGTAGTGCTGTGTACTGCGTTCATGTCCATTATTCCGTCATTTTGGCTACACAGAAGGGAAACATCCAGCATGTAGCCTGACAGCAATGATCCTGTGCCAGTAGGTTAAATGCTGATTGTTTGAAGAGTTTCCTTTAACAGAGAAAGACACACAAAGATAATATCAAAGATCAAAAAGGACAGGTCAGAAGCCTACACAATGTCCCAAGTGGACAGTGTGTATTGTTTTTAAGTCTCTGTTTGACTCCACTACAATAGTTCTTTGTCTAATACAACTTCCCTATAGCAGGGCTAAACTAAAAAACAAACAACATGAACAAAAGAAGTCCAGATTACTGGTTGTCCACCCATTTATTTTTTGCAGTCATGTTATAAGCAATGAGCATTTTCATTATTGCCATCTTGGCGTTTTGAAACCAGACGTGATGACCTAATGTGCAACTGCTCACTCACTGGCTGTCGACTTGTGATTTACAAATAGCAAATGAGCATATCCTGGATTACCCTCCTTGCTGACTCTTGGAATGACCATAATTTACCAAATGAGCTCAATGTTTTATTAGGTAGGACCTGAAATGTGTGACGATCCCATGAAGTCATCAGGAAAGTGTTGATGAGGTCAAAGGTGAGGGCCAGAAGTCATTTTGCCAACCACAGGAGTCACTAAAGGAACTGCATGTTTAAGGAGCTCCCATGCTAGCTTTTCAGACCCAGAAGGTAGTCCATCGTTTACATTCTCTACCACTACAATGGTACAGCACTTAATGCATCCATTCCTGGCAGTTACCTGGAAGCCTCTGTAGTGGGAGTCTGCACTCCAGCAGCTTTGCATTGCAACCATACACCACTGCAGCTGCTTTGAGAATATTTTAAATTAATGTTTGTACTAAAGTGATGCTAAAGCTGAGCCTACAAACTCCAGTGACTCAAGCAAGGAACAAGATCCAGAGCTGTGCTGCAGTTATGGCACAAAATGCATTACCACCCGTATCATAGTACTCTTCACAAACAGTGACACCATGTTCTTTGAGCATTACAAAGTCTAAGCTTAACTCTCCATCTGCACTCATTACTTGCATAAAGCTGCACTGTAAAGATTACAGTGTAGCTAATGTAATATTACATTTATAATATATGTATCTGATACATAAGTTTTTTGTGAGACCTCTACATCATTAGTGGGATTTTTTTTTCAAGAAAAACCCAAATAAATTGATGAAAAATGCCAGATGTAGCAAAAATGATACCAATTAAAACACATATATAAAAAAAAATTTTTTAATTTCTTAAAACAAAAAAATCCAAATTGTTTGATAAACACTCCAATTTGAAAATGTTTTTAATTTTCTGGAAATTATGTCATGTTTCAGGTTTTTTAGCGTTCAGCATTGTTTTTTGTCTTAAGCATCACAAGTCTATTTTTAAAAGGAAAAATGCAATTAATTAAGGTGAATATTTGCTAGTTTCCAAATCTGCTGTGAAATTTAACTGAGATTTGTTCATTTTTTTTGGTTTTCCACAGCTGATTAGATAAAGCCATTGGAATAAAGACATTCAGTATGTCCAGGAAGAATACTTGAAATGTCCAGGCAACTTTTTAGTACTGAAAATAATGACTGACACGGCACTGTAGCCTTACAATATTGTTATCATGGATTGTTGTGACCTTCATCGTCAGCTTCTGTGTGTTAATTACTGCTGTAGCATTACTGGCACAATGCCGGGCCACCTCTGTGTCTCTTCCTTTCACGCAACCTTTACTCTCCCAAGGTTGTGAAATTCAACAGCGCTGTGCGATCACACCACACACACGCACACACACACTTATCTACACTGGAGTGTTTCATTAGAGTAGATGAGCTTACAATGAAAATTAAAATTTGATCGTATTATGACAGCTACTTGTCTTTCTGATTAAGTAATTACGCACACTCCAGTAAACACCTCTCCTTCCCACACTGAGAGCTGTTGCATTATAAACACCTCTTCACTGATTATGCAGCTAAAATATTGGAAATCATTATTTGACTCTTTACTTTAGAGTGCAAACTGACTTGTTAAGCAGTTTCAGATGGCTTACTCATCACTTTGAGACATACAGTACACCTCTGTGCCGAACTTCCCTAGGTGAGTACCAAAAGGATTAATCAACACGTGACAAAGAAACCAGAAAAGGACTGATGCATGAAAGAGCAAGAGTGCTGTTGGGAAACTGTGAGAGGAAAGAGAGTAACTCAGTGACATAATGTACAAATTGATTGCATAACAGAAAAAAAATAAATAAGAACAAACGTGACTAAAACGGTTTCCTGTTACAGATACATCCAGATGTGTCCAAATATGTTCAGCACATAAGAGAACTTCACATCTAACATCAACACCTGCAGATGAACTGAGTTATTCATATCTACAGGCTATTAAAAAGCTATCACATCAAAATCTAAATGTGGTGGGAGAGATCAATTCCAGAAGTTCAGAGATAAATATGTTGTAGCAGGCAAAAAGACTGAACACACCTAACAGTAGCATAGCTTAAATAGAGTACAATAGGACAAAAAAAAAAAAGCTCAGTTGAAAATAAAAAATAAAAATGAGGCCAAAATGTGCAAAACAGACAGAAGACATAAGAAGTTATACAGATATCTGAAAACATGGACAAGAGAAGTAGAAACAAGAACACTAATAAACTCTAAATAAAGGTTTTTATTTATTTAATGTCACAATAGTTGAATAGCAAACATGTCAATAATAACATTAATTATAATAACAACAAGAAAAAGTAAAAGAATAAAACATTTTTTAAAAAGGTTACGGGCAGTAAAAAGCTTTAAGAGTTCAGAGCAAAGCCACAGCATGATGTCATGTTAAAGTAATCAATGAAATATGAAAAGGATACTGTCAAAAAAGGCCTTTTAAAGGTAAATGCATCTACAACAAGCTAATAACAAATAACTATTGATTGTCTATATACTGTAATGCTAAACCATGCCAATTGCAGACTATTTGGCTACAAAAATATCTACAATGCTGTTCAGGGACACTAATATGTCTATTAGTGCCTACAGTTGAAAGCTTTTTAAAGGCTGTAACATGATTGCACATCCTGAGAATCACTGAGAAAAATCCAAAGCAGAATTCAAGGGGAGCAAACAGAAATCCCAGCCAGAAAGAAAAAAACATGGGAGCCAGGTCAAAAAGCAAAGTCCAAAAGGAAGAATGAATAAATACAGAAATGAGCATAAAGGAAACCCAACAAAAAAAAAGCAAAACAAAGATGCAACTTTAGGCTTTTCCCATTTCTCTAATTTGTGCTACCTTGTCTCCTTTGTCCTCCTTCCTCCTTCCTGTGACCTAGAAATCAAACTCACTGTGATTTGTTGTAGGATTTT